GAAAACTGAGTGTTTGTTGCTGTCAAGTCTTACCTCACCCGCCTTGCACTTCACCTCCCGTTTGTACTCATGGTAGCATGTAGTACTCCGAAAGGCTGCATGTTATAGACGGTTGCAACACTAGGAAGGGCACCTTTTAACTTGATATTTACTGTGAGAGATCGCCCTACTAATTGACTACTTCTCAATCAAAGGGTGAAACAACAAAGGGATACACATCTCAGGAAATTCATAAAAGCATGGTATGGTTTAGCTCGGCTCTAGTAATCATTCATGACCATCTTCAGTCTTCAGATGAAGCATTGTGATACGATTATCACGTTGTCGTGCAACCGTTTTAAAAACGCTGTTGTGGCGGCAATTTTCGAAAATCTTGTCTTGGCAACAAATTCAGAAATTCTGCCATGGCATGAAATTATAGCTCCTCGTCACGCGCCTAGGACACCTTCTCCACGTCGTGGTCCTCCGTGTACGCTTGCCATCGGCACGTGTAACCTGTAGGCTATCTCTATGATATTTACATTAACGTGGAAATCTCATGGCTCCAGCCATCGTCACATGTAATATGTAGGTTATCTCTATCAGTAAGTAGTGATGATGATACTCTCATGGTCTAAGGAGAAAAATCACACGTTAACACTGTATTATTACAGTTGATTACAGACGATGTAAAGACAATTCATAATAGCCATGTTTTGGTCAATTCAATATGATCATTCTTCAACGTCATAATATCAATGTTGTTTTAGAACTATCCTTTACACTTAATGATATCCTAAGATCTGGAAAACGTGATCACCAACAACACTTGAGCTAGTCCTGGAGGCAAGACTAGGAACCTTTTATTTAACCGTTTATCATTCCACACGCGCACATGAGTTACCACTGAATTTCATATTGTAGGATCATAGCAGCTATAGCATATCATATAAACTCTTTAATTATGAATACAAAAATATAATAATACAAATATTATTACATCTAGGGCATATTTCCAACAGTGAGGTTCTATGTATATCCGCCTATGTTATTCCAACATAGTCGGTCACAAGCCTGGATAAAGCAGGAGGGGTTGTGATAGATGTGGTGAGCCAATAACTATTGAAGCCATTCTTATGGAGATTAAATCCTATAAAAATTCGTGGAGGTGTAACCCTCTTAGCAAGACGCCATATCGAAACCCGGGTATGGTGTTAAATGGGCAAGGGTCGGGCTGCCACCCCCTTGCTGGTGTGCCATATCTTGACCTGGATACGGTGATAAGTGAGCAAGGATCGGATCATTGCATCCTTAGTGACGCGCTACATCGCCGTCTGGATGTAGTGAAAACAAAATGCATCTACTGCCTCCTTGCTCAAGGGCTTCATCAAAAAGATTTTCCCATGAAGAAGCTTAGATCACCATTCTCACTCGGATGAAAGAGTTGTCCGATCTATCCAAGACTAATGCTCCAAAGCTAGAAAGGTTAGATAAAGTGCTTAAGAATTGTGCTCTGGAAGTTGTGGATGCCCTTCAACCAGCTCTGAATGTGCCTCAAGGGTCTTCGCATTTGAGTAGAAGGATGAGAAGGGTAAGGAAGCTAGTTGAGCCTACTAGGTTGTGTGTGGGTACTTGTAATGTAGGGTAGCTCATGGGTAGGCTCCAAGAGGTAGTTGATACAACGATTAGGTGATGTGTGAATGTTCTTTTCATTCGAAGGAGGTGGAAGATACCGGTTTCAAGCTATGGTACTGGAACCAAAAGTGGAGTTAGCATCGTGATCTACAAGAACATTAAGGATGGGATGGTTGACATCAAGAGCAAGGAGATAGGACTATTTTAGTGAAGCTGAACACTGGTGATTTGGCTCTTAATGTTACTAGAATCCCCTCAAATAGATCTCAATGAGAGCATTAAGACGCATTTTGGGTACGAGATGGATGCATTGGTCAGTAGTGTACCTATCTCTGAGAAGCTCTTTATAGGAGGATCCTCAATGGGCATGTAGGCTCGTCTAGAGTAGGCTTTGAGGGGGTGCATGGGGGTTTCAGGTTCAAGAGTAGGAACCAAGATGGGGTGGGTGCTTTGAACTTTTCTTTGGCCTACGACTTAATTGTAGAGAATACCTTCTTTAGAAAGAGAGACTCTCATCTAGTCACCTTTAGCAGTGGTGAACACTATATCCAAATTTATTTCATCCTCTCGAGAAAAGTGGATAGGGATGCTTGCTTAGATTGTAAGATGATACCTAGAGAGTGTGGGGTGCCTCAAGATAAGCTTGTGACAACAGATTTTCGTTTTTGGGTACGCACTCAACGGAGTAAGCTCATCAAATTGACAAAGACAAAGTGGTGGAAGCTCAGAAGAGTCAACACATACTTTCAAGGAGAGGGTTATCGAAGAGGGCCCTTGGATGAAGGAGGTGATGCAAACAACATATGGATGAAGTTGGCCCCTTTCATTAGGTCAGTGGCCTCAGAGGAGCTCGGAGTGACTAGAGGAGGTATAGGCATGAAGCTAAGTATACATGGTGGTGGAATGAGAATGCCCAGAAGGCTATAAAGAGAAGAAAGAGTGTTTTAGACGACTGGGCACGAAGGAAGGGCAGAATGAAGGGGAGTAGGACATCTATAAGATGGACAAAACTAGAGAGAGGAAGACAAGGGACATCATCCAAGTTAAATGCATTAAGGATGAGACAGAGCAACTCCTAGTAAAATACATAGAGATGAAGAACATATGGTGGGGGTAATTCAACAAACTCTTCAACAAAGATAGTGGAAGCCCGTCCATTGATTTGGACACCTCTTCCGACGACCTCAACATGCACTTGGGGCATAGGATTCAAAAATTTGAGGTCAAATATGCATTGTAAAGGATGAAAGGAGGCAAGACGGTTGGCCCGGATGGGATCACCATTGAAGTGTGGAGATGTCTTGGGGACATAGCGATGGATCTACTCAATAAGTTGTTCAACCTTATCTTCTGATCAAATAAGATGCCAGATGAGTGGAAACATAGTATTTTAATACCAATCTTCAAGAATAAGGGGGTGTTCAAAGTTGTACTAATTATTGGGGGATCAAACTAATGATCCATATAATGAAAACTATAGGAAAGGTTTACTGAACATCGTCTAAATGGATTGACTAACGTCTCAAAAAACCAATTTGGTTTCATTCCCGGGAGATTGACTATGGAGGCGGGTTTCTTGATAAGGCAACTTATGGAGAGATAAAGGAAACAAAAGAAAGACCTGCATATGGTCTTCATTGAGTTGGAGCAGGCTGATGACAAAGTGTTGAGGAATGCCATGTGTAGTGGCGAAGCTTGAGCCATGGATTGGGGGGGCTCATTAATTTAGAAAAAAATGATAACAGTAACAAATTTACTATTTATTTGACGTAAATTTGAGCAGGCCGGTGAGACATGGCCCACCCTGGCCTCAATGAAGACTCGCCTGTGGTCATGCAGTGGGCCTTAGAAAGGCACAAAGTGTCAATAAAGTACACTATTCTCATGAAGAATATGTACAATAATGTTATGACAAGTGTCTCAACAAGTGATGGAGACACCGATGTACCAAGGGTCGGCTCTGAGCCCTTATCTATTTTCTTTGGTTATGGATGGGGCCACAAGAGGTATATAAGGAGATATCCCTTGGTGTATGCTCTTTGCGGATGATGCGGTGTTAGTGGTTAAGAGCATGACGAGGGTTAATCAAAAGTTAGAATTACGAATAAGGCCTTTGGAGTCAAAAGATTTTAGGCTCAGTAGGTCTAGAACAAAGTACATGAGGTGTGATTTCAGTGCTACTACATAGGTGTAGGGAGATGTTACAATTGAGGGTTAGGTGGTACCCAAAAATGTCACTTTTCGCTACTTGGGATCTATGTTGCATAAGGATGAGGATACCAATGAAGTCATTAGCCATAGAATGAAAGCCAGATGGTTGGTGTGGCTCCAAGCTTCTAGTGTCCCATGCGACAATAGGGTGCCACAAAAGCTAAAAGGCAAATTTTATAGGACGACGATCCGACTTGCAATGTTATATGGAGCAGAATGTTGGCCTACTAAAAGGCAACATGTCGAATAGCTAAGTGTAGCTGAGATGCACATGTTACAATGGATTTATGGCCACACAAGAGGAGATCGTGTTCGCAATGCTAACATACGACAGAGAATATAGGTGGCACCAATTGAGGAGAAGCTTGTGCAACATCGTTTGAGATGGTTTGGACATGGGGAACGGAGGCCATAAGAGGCACCCGTTCATAGCAGGCTAATAAGTCAGCCCGATAATGGGAAGAGAGTTAATGGAAGACTAAATTTGACATGGAAGGAGTCCCAAAAGAGAGATTTGAAGGATTGAAATATCGCCAAAGAGCTAGCCTTAGATATGAGAGAGTGGAAGCTAGCGATTCATGTGTCAACCTTGATTTTTTTTGTTTTCTTCCCTTTTACCCTTTTGTGTTTTTTTTGCCGTTTCCTTCCTTTTATTTGGGTTTGTTTTGTTATTGCCTTTTTTCTTCCCTTTTCATTTTGGTTTATTATAGCCCTTTTCCTCTTTTATTTTGCCTGCCATCTCCCTTTGGTCTTTGGGTAATGCGGGTTTCATCTATAGCCTAGCTCAACTTGTTTGGGACTAAAAAGCTTGGTTGTTGTTGTTGTTTGTTGTTGTCAAGTCCTATTTACTTTCAGATAGTCTACTGGAACATGGGTGCCCACTAGCTAGTACTCCCTCTGTCCCATAATGTAAGACGTTTTTTGACACTACACTAGTGTCAAAAAACGTCTTACATTATGGGACGGAGGGAGTAATAGATTTCGGCTACCCCAGCTACGTGAAGTTGTCCAGGAAGCCTAACCTGGCACGCACAAGCTCTGCTAGCGTACAAATCATAAAATTATTATCCATAACAGAGATATCTGTAGTGCAGCACTAGCGCCCCTATTTTATGCAAGTTAACGCCCTATTGGGCCATAGTGGGGTTTCAACTTTTATACGCCCTCCACTGCAGATTTACGATGGCAGCCAGGTCTGGGACGCAGGTTTCACAGTTGAGGCCCTTGTGGCTACTGACCTTGTCAATGAGCTTGGACCAACTCTTGAAAGAGCGCACTCCTTCCTTAAGAAGTCACAGGTACATTCATGCTATACTCGACATCAAATTTGTCTGAAAAATGTCAATTTCATTCGATAGTAGAGTACTTACAAATAAGTATTTTTTTTTACTATTGAAGTTGCTTGAGGATTGCCCCAGAGATTTCAACCACTGGTATCGCCATATTTGCAAAGGTGGTTGGACATTTACTACAGCTGATGATGGTTGGCAAGTTTCAGATTGCACTGCAACAGCATTAAAGGTGCAAAATTATATTTTCCATATTACCAATACAGAACTTTTTTGCCTAATTTAATTTCTTTCAATTTGTGTATTGAACACGTTATGTGCTCATGCATATACTAAAAAAAGTGTTGCTTTGATATGCACTAGCAGGTTGGTACGTACGACACGCATGCAGGAATATCCATTCATGCAACATATATTAAGATGAATTTATAGCGATAGAATATAAAATACGATATATACAATGTCTTTAAAGAAAACTAAATATCGCATGTCACACACAAATTTGTAATATTTATAATTATATTTATCAATTAATAACTTGCATGTGGAAAGCAATTAAGAAACCTTTGGATATGGAAAGAATTTTTTTTAAATGAGTTTAAAGATCGCAGGGGTTTATAGCAATGAAATCAACCCGTCTGGGTACAGATGGAGCTAACCATGGGGTGGGTGGAAAAAGTCTGAGTGAAGGAATTCTTCATCCGGTGGGTCCTCTCCAATCATGTGGTTAGATGGATAGTCCCCTATAAGTCCAAGGCTCTAGATTGATGGGTATAGGATGTAGGGAGTGAAAACAAGAGTCACAGGGATTCATTCTTTATTAGTTTAGATAAGAAACTTTCTCTAGACATCATTACTACCAACATTGACTTTAAAGTTGGTGCAGGGTACCGAGCTCACTGTTAAATTAAATTAAATTCTAGAAGGGACCCACATGTGGGGCATGAAAGAAAATTACCTTTTTTTCCTTGTCCGCCTATTCCTGAATTTCAGCTCCTTCGTGTACCCTTGCTCATAGTCTTGTTGTTTTAACCGACATGTTAAGGAGCGACAACACATATAAAAATCCATTTGAAACCCAATGAAGTTGGAAATCTAAGATGTTGTATAATCAATTTAAACTACTTGTAAGGGGTGGATTCCCCTGCCAACAACGACTCCAATAAGGATTAGGAGGTAGAGGCTGAAACTGAAGATGGAACAGACAGGGGGACGGTGCCCAATTTTTGGTCTCCAAATATTTATATTTGCTTTTGCCATGTAGCCACGCACATCACACACTATAGAGTCTGTTCAGGCTGGACCTGGCTCAATTGAAGAAATATCACAATCTGTTATAGCCTGTAAAAATAGTTTATTGCTGTTGGTTCTTAGAACCTCGTATGGGCCAACTATTGATTTCATATTTTGACTACCTGATAGATTTCTGTGATTTTCTTAAGTATTGATGCTGCTACTTTTACATTTACACAGGCATGTCTGTTGTTATCAAAGATTTCTCCTGAAATCGTTGGAAAACCACTGGAAATTTCTAGACAATATGATGGTATCAATGTTCTGATGTCTTTCATGGTAAGCATCATTCAAACTTATGTTACCATTCTACAAAATAGTTAATAATAAGATTTTAAACCGCATATTCACTTTTAAGTTGAAAACATATAGTACATGGTGTGCATACTCACTACTGAGTCTTTGAGGCACGACAAAACCAGTGGAATGTCAGAACTCTTATGCTTCAGTTCTGCTGGATCGCAACTTTGTGGATTTCTCTGCTATAATGCCTATAGAAATACAGTTATATAAAGCACATGGACTATCACAGGACTAGCAAAACATCTATATGTTTGCTGGATGCATAATAAAGTGTGGCTAGAGCCTGCAAATGGTTTTGCTAAGAATAAAATTGCAGCACATGAATGAATGATTTTCTAGATAAGAAAATGTGTTGCCGTGTTGTGACACCTCTAACACAGACTGCTAGATCTAACAACCAAAAAATATTTATTTTATAGCATAAATGTATTTATATTGATTACCTGTCACCAGTGTTTAAAAAAACGGAGGAATGAAGTGAGCAGTTGAGCAATGCCTAGCATCTAGGCATTCCTAGGCTATGCCTAGCTAGGCTATCATAGGAATTTGCACTTTTGGCTAATGAACATAAAAAGATACAGAAAACAAGGAAAACATTGCATATGGCGACATAATTATTAAAAAAAATGGGGAAACGCGTTATTAATAGCAGAACTGAAAGCAAAGAGGTGGAGCTCTTCCTAGCGCCTGGGCAATGCTTAAGCCATCCATAATTCAAACTCCTATATTCCCTATCTAATTCAGGAGAACCAAAAACAGTTCACGGCTTGATTAAACCGTTCCAATCTATTTCTCGATTTCCACATACATATTTTGGATATGTATGCTGCCTTCTCGTCATGAAGAATAAATACTTTTTTATGTATACTTAAATCTTGATCATGAGATATATTCTTTGAAGAACATAAAAAAGTAAGTATGCAACACAAAACACAAATATAGACTTAAAAAAGAAATCACTGATAATATATTAAAGGAAGAGCTAAGGTGAGCATTTAACCCAATTATGTTAATGTGCAATCAATGATTCAAATATCACCGAAATATTTTGGTAAAAATACAACAGAGTTGAATAATATATCAATGGCTAGGTTATAATTCTGTCGCATGGGCATTCGAACACAGACGGTATGTTCCTTTATGTGTAATCTCTCCCTTCTCCAAGAGCTGCTTACCGCCCAATCCCCACGTGGGGCGGCACGCGAGGTCATGCATTGCATTCCTCTTATGCTTTCGTCCTCAATTCAAGTAAAAGGGTCAACCGAGATATTCTATGGGATGAACAGCGAGGGTTATATGCTGACCCTTGCCCACCTAAATAACCAATATGTGACTAATCCTACAACCCCACTTCCACTTCTGGGCCTCTTGGCCGCAAACCATAACTGCTACGTGCTTTCAACAACTAGGGTGGTACAGCCACCCCCTTAAGAGCTGACACCCTTGGCAGCATACCATATATACGTCCTGTGGATACCTAGGATCTTCTCTCGGTCTATAGTGCGATTATACTCTAATACCACTATAAAAATTTGGCGATCATGATCTGCTTACCGCCCAGCCCTCACATAGGACGGCACACAAATTAATGTGTAACGGTCCTTTTATGCTTCGGTCCTCACTTCGTGTAAATGGGTTAACCAGGAGGTTGATTGGAACACCAATGGTTATACAATGACTCATACCCACCTAAATACCGAACATGAGACTAATCCCACAACTACACTTCCACTGATGGGTCTCTTGGCCTAACCACTACTACTATTGGCTTCCAATAGGTGGGGTGTTAAAACTTTGCTAATATCACAAGCCCACATCTTGTTGATTATGAATTATCATGAAAAGAGAAGCAAAAACAAAGTTTTAAATAACATGCCAATAATCAATTAGAATGGATGAAGTTTTCTTCCGAGGATCAGACCAAACCAACTTTTTGGAGCGTTTGGGCATCATGGCTTCCCCACACTGTGAGATTCCATCATCAATGGTCTTATGCTGTTCATCAACCAAGGAGGTGGGAAGGGGCGCCGATCCAATGCCACCATCAATGCAAGTAACTGCATTAACTAGAGATGGCTAGCAGGGTGATGCATCTCCATTGTTCCTCGCCAACGTCAATGCTAGCAGTGGCACAACAAATGCCAGCCGACTCCTATTTGTAGAAGACCAGCCAGAGGACATGCATGGAGTCGTGAGAGCGAGAGGAATGACTGCGGTGCTGGGATATCGTGGGGTAAGGGAGTTAGGGCTCTCACTTTGCAGAGTGGGCCTAATAAAGATGTTGAGAAATTAGTGGTGGGTAATTGTTCAAACATTATATAGTTATCATTTCTTTCATGCAATATAAACAATATAACCTTCTCTTCAATTGGTTGGCTCCTCCAATCTTACGTATGGACATGGAGTAGTACACATTCAAAAGACAATATCCATTTTTGTCATTTTTCCCTTTCAGTTTTATTATGCAGTTTTTTACCAAATGGGGCCCTGATTGTCGTCTAACTAAAATGGCATGATCTCATAAAATACAAACAAAATCATATGTGATGCAAAGAATATTGACACGACACGCTAGGATGGAACATGATTGGAGTGTTGCAATATCCTCTACAGTTCCACAACACATACTATATGCGATGCTAAACATGACTCATAGCAACACATGCCCCATGTGTTGCCCAAAGTCTGTCTTGTATTGTGATTTCCAATTTACTTTTGTCAGATCAAAACATGAAGGGCAAGAATCCAATTTATGATGGTTGTATATAGATAGTATTTCCAATTTTCTATGTTGAAACATTTATGTTCATGAAGTATCTTTATCAGCAGTTTCTCTTTGATGAGGCTTTTGTCTGATATGTTTGTGTTGATTAACATTCACAGAATAATAATGGCGGCATTTCATCATTTGAACCTGTAAGGTCTTATGCATGGTTGGAGGTGAGAAATTGACTTCTTTCAGGATCCTCCTTTCTTGTGTTAATATTTAGCAAGTTATATTTTTCCTTGATTTCATCACTAAATGAAAGCCTTGAAGATAGAAAGAGATGTGCACACATTGGTGCGCATCTCAAGCGGTGATGAATTTGCATGAACAGAAAACACACAGCAGTAAACCACGGGTATTACATAAGCTGGATTTGTTAGATCTACAACAACAACCAAAGCATATCACTTATAACCTATCTAAATCTACTAATAAAATAAGAAGTCAAGCAAATGAGACAAACAGAGATAACCAAATACTCTGCACCAAAACTTAGAATTTTATCTTAGTGTTGTATAAACTCAAGTAGTGCAATATAGCATGCAAAGTTATACCGGTAATCGACTATTAACTTTGCTAAATATATTGCACATATAAATATATAAATTAAAAATATATCTGATTATCACTATAATTACACTCTTGCTTTGTTGAAAAGCAAAGCTACTTTCATCAATGTGACTACATTTATCTATACTGACATGTTTTGTTTAAATTCAGGATTTTAATCCTTCTGACTCATTTGGGCGCGTTATGATTGAATACTCGTAAGATGAGATAACCTCTCGATGTTCAGTTCTTATATATACTTCGTTTTTCTCATTTATATGAAAAGATCCAATCACATAAATCTGAATTGGCAGGTATGTCGAATGTACATCATCATCAATTCAGTGTCTAGCATTATTCAGAGAGCTTAACCCTGGGCACCGCAAGGAAGAGGTGGAAAATTGTATCAGAAAAGGCGCTGATTTCATTGAGATTTCTCAAAGAAGAGATGGTTCATGGTTAGTATGAGTACACTATGCATACATAACTACAAATACTATATGCTGATTATATAATATCTACTTAGTTCTAATTGTTCGAAAACTATGTCCTAACAGGTATGGCTCGTGGGGAATTTGTTTTACTTATGCCACATGGTTTGCAGTGGAAGGATTAGTTTCTGTTGGTAGGACATTCAAGAATAGCGCTGCGATCAGAAAGGCTTGTGAATTTCTCTTGTCAAAAGAGCTTCCTTCGGGTGGCTGGGGAGAGAGCTATCTGTCAAGTCATGACGAGGTAACACTGACCTCAATTTGTCAATTTGTTTGAAGGTGGTATTTAGGGGTCAGGATTTTCTGTAGCTAGCGTTGCAAGCTGGTCTTTCAGGAATTAGTGTTTCTCTATAATTTCTGTAAGGAGTCAAAAAAATGAACACTACCGGGGTTGTTTGTTCTAGCTAGAAATTGTTCAAAACAGCTTATAGTTGTGGATTGAGGAATCTTAGATTGTGCTAGATAAGGTTCTAAACACCAATACACCTATATAGGCCCTAAATCTAGAGTATAATAATAACCCTGTAACCGAGAGCTGACCAACCATATTATGAATTGCATTGAATCAGGTTTACACAAATCTAAAAGGCAACCGACCTCATGGTACACACACTGCCTGGGCCATGCTAACACTAATTGATGCAGGGCAGGTCTGCTTTTTTTTTTGCATTTCGCTTGTGGATTTTCATAAGACGTGTACATTCGGAAAGGAAACTAATTCAAGGTGTTGTTATAGGCCGAACGAGATCCAATGCCTCTACATCGAGCAGCTAAGGTTTTGCTCAATTTACAATTAGATGATGGAGAATTTCCACAGCAGGTAAGTAATAGCTGTGCATAGAAAGGTCGTTTTACTACCATTGGGACATACCAAGGGATATTACTGAATTCTAAACTAGGATGGTAATAAGCTCCATGGATAAACAAGCATTAGTACCTTATTATACCTCACTTATTCTTGATTCTATACTACAATGAATGCTAGAGGAAATATGTTGGGTTTCACCTTTACTACTATTTTCCTTACTGAGTTAAATTATTCATTAAAGAGATAGTCATCACTAAGCCTTTGGTTGGGACGATGTTGATAAAATTGCTGGCAATCTAGTGGATATTATAGATAACAAGATTCCTACAGTTGGAGGATTACCAATCCTTCCAAAATTGGAAACTATCCTAGCTTATTAGCCCTATTGAGTTCAACATTCCACCTCACAAAACATTTTATGTGGCCCATGAGGAAGCTAAATGATTATGACCATATTAGGAACCATCTGGGCAAGCTTCACACAACTGTGAAGCTTCTACATTTGAGCATATCTTGATGTTTTTGTATGCATGTTCAACGTTAATCAAAATGGGTCCATCACATGGTGCTCACATATAGGTAGAACAACACCTAGGCAGATAAATGGTTGGAACATGATGAATATATCGACGTTTAAGAATGGATGTGGGTGATTTCTTATTTCTTACATAAAATCAACATTGGACTAAATTACTATTCTTTGTGCCATAGTTTTCATGATAAACAAACAAATCTTATAGATATGATATTATTATATTTGCTAAACATACCATGAATAGAATAAAAAATAAAAGATAGTGGGCTCACGCAGGTTTCCTATTTTTTTTATCTCAATATATGCTTAAATATAATATGCGTGAACATGTTGTGTGCTTATGTTTGTACACAGTTTTGCATTGTATTGAATATGGTCAGAGACCATGTATCAACCACTGATGATTTGAAATGACAGTACATATTTATTTTACTTACACAGAAACTCCTATTCCGAACATATTTAGTTTATGCACTGTTACATTTTGGTGTAATGATTATTTATAATGTTGCATTGTGCTGACAAAAAATTCGGTCAACAACAGGAGATCATTGGAGTTTTTCTCCAAACTGCCATGGCCAGTTACTCCCAGCACAGGAATGTCTTCCCTATCTGGGCTCTCACAGAATACCGTCGTCGAGTATTGCTTGCAGGCAAGAAATAGGCGCTTGATTTAAAGTTACCTCTTACTCCTAGCAGCTTGTACTCTCTCTCTCTATCTTTCGTTTGATTTATACTATATTCTAGCTATTGTAGTTTCTAAGAATAATAAAATGTGTAATCGTAAGCAATCAGTTCTGTTAAATTGTTAGTCCTTTTCTTTGTAATAAAACATGTAACCTATAGTACTGCTTCCTTATATCTTTCCCTAATCTCTCCCTAATAATAAAGCACGGATTGAGTCTCCGGGTTCACCGTCGCGGCGTTTTTACGCAAAAGTCCCTGCTGTTTTAGTTATCTAAAACGCAGTCCTCTTTTAATCTGAGAAAAACGTTTCAATTTTACTAAAAGCAACATGGGGCGTGCAGTGACGAAGATGGCCGCGGCGGCGTTCATTCTCCGGCCGGATCACACCGGATTCTGGCGGGAATGGTTCGAAGGCGACCAAATCCACGCATGGGGAGGCGAGGCAGGCACTTGAGGTGGCGACGCGTCTCGATGCAGAGGAGGGTGGCGTGGCGGGACTTGCAAGGTATGGGGAGGCGTGGATCCAGGCGACGGCGAGAAGGACAACAGGAAGGAGGTGCGGGGTGAGCTTGAGCTCCTGCGGGTGGCCATGGCAGAGAAGAGAAAGGGAACGAGGAGAGGGACGGCAGCGGATTACCTCGGGACGACGGCAGGACTCGCCAGCCTCGTCCTCAATGGGGTAGGGGAGCGGCAGGGAAGGCGCGGGGTTAGCGACGCTCACCGCAGACCACGGCAGAGCATGGCTGCTTCGAGCAGGACGGCGCGAGGAGGGAAAACGGGAGGAGGAGAGGCGGAGCTTGCTGGAGGCACGGCATCGGGTGGCGAAGTTTCCGGCCGGAGGCAAGCGTGCGAGGGGCGGCGGCGGCCGAACCTCTCTCTCGTGCGTGTCTCTCTGGTGGCTGGGGATCGAGAGGAGGACGAGGGGGCCGGAAGAGTGGGGATTGGGATCGAGCGAGCCTCTCCCCTGGCGGGAGCTCCTACTCAGCGCCCGTTAGCGGTGCTGGCGCTCGCAGCCGCGGCATAGCGGGCCGGCGAGAAATCTGCTCAAAAATTACAGTATAAAAAGGTGAAGCGGGACTCGAACTCCTACCGCCCATGACACAAAGTGCTTAACCACTAGGCCACGTTGGACTTCCTTTCGTACGGCGAGGAAACAATCTACTTAACCCTTTCGTCAGTACAAGTTAATTGACTTGACAAAACTTTCATCGTTTCCGAATTAAAAAAATCTCGAATTTGAAAATAGTTCACGAGGTTATGAAAAAAGTTCATCCAATTTGAATGAAAAAAATCACGAATTCAAAAGAAGTTCACTGGGTTCTGATAAAAGTTCACGGATATGAAAAAAATTCACTGATTCTGAAAAAAGTTCACAGATTTGAAAAAAAGTTCATTAAAATCGAAAAAAGTTCATCCATTTTGAAAAAGTAGTTCACTGGGTTTTGAAAAATGTTCACGGATTTGAAAAAAAGTTCATTAAAATCTAAAAAAGTTCATCCATTTTGAAAAAGTAGTTCACCGGGTTTTGAAAAAAGTTCACGGATTTGAAAAAAAGTTCATTAAAATTGAAAAAAGTTCATCCATTTTGAAAAAGTAGTTCACTGGGTTTTGAAAAAAGTTCACGGATTTGAAAAACAGTTCATTAAAATTGAAAAAAGTTCATCCATTTTGAAAAAGTTCATCAATTCTCAAAAAAGTTCACAAATTTTAGAAAGAGTTCATTGATTCATAAAAATAAAATTAACAAATTTTCGCGCATTTGCAAAAGAAAAAGGAAACAAAAGAGAAACAGAGAAAAAACAAGAAAAAGAAAAAATACGCGGGCATCGCGATCTTTGGAAAGAATAAGAAGCGAAAAACGAAATAAACTAGCAGAAGTGGGTCGTTATTCTAGTGGTTGTTGCGTTGTTCTGCGAACCTATAGGTCCTAGGTTCGAATCCGGCAAACAATGATTCCTTTTATCAGCTTTTTCTATAAAGGAAGCGGAAGATGGGCCGGGCCCAACTAGCCGCGCCCTGCAGGCGCCAGTTTGCGAGCGGGCGCATAAGCGCCAAATAGGATTCCCCTCCCCCCTGCAGGCGCCGGTTTGCGAGCGGGCGCATAAGCGCCAAATAGGATTCCCCTCCCCCGGCGGCTAGGGTTGACGAGGTGCGGCTGGGCCTTGGGCCAAAAGGGCCGGCTGGCGCTCTCTCTCCCTCTCTTCCTTAAGTTTTTCACTTTTTCTATTTCTGAAAAAGAACCCAGAGATTTGGAGAAAGAAAAGGAGCTCTAGGAAAAGAGTTTGGGCATGGGGTTATTTTCCCTGGACTCACAAAAATGATCGTGATCCATAAAATATAAATGGTCATGATTGAAAGTTTAAATTCAAACTCTAGGACTAGGTTTTATAAGTGTCCAAAAATATTGAGAATTTTAATGGAACTTGGGGAAAGATAGAAGAAATATCGGCAAAGTTTGGAGGTCTACCTTGAAGTAGAAAAAGGCATGGGTTTTTTTGAAAGGCTCAAAAGGAATTTGAAAGGGCTATTAAATAAAATAGAAGGAAGGCTCAAATGATTTTTTGAAAATGTTCATAGTTTTTTATTTGGTCATCCAGGCTTTTTAGAGGAGAGAGAGAGATCTGAGAGTTTGAGAGAGAGACATGAAAGAGAAGGGTACATGAGAAGTGAGTGAAACATGAGAGATAGAGGCATAAAAAAGATATGCAAAAGATTGGGAGAGATACATACGTGAGAAGTTGAGGCGTGCAAGATTTAAACCCAAAAAAAGTATGGAGACTCACGTTCATATCCGTGGGAAAGAGACCATCACAACCAAGAAAAACAAAGCAAACGTCCGTGCTCAATGTGCCCACAGGACGACCTGATCATATCGCACAGGTCATGCGGGGTCAATAGGATTGCCGACCTTGTTTACAGAACATACTGTGATGGGCTGGATTCATTCATTGCTTCATCGTTAAATTTTACAAATATTAACAATTAATGATTGTTGCATGAGTAGTATTCTTACGAGGGTTAAGATGGAGACATGTCCCATATAGAGAAAAGTAATTTATTGGTGTGGTGCCGTTGGATCGATGAAGAAGAGGGACATGAACAAGATGTTGGTGTTTGTCACAATAACATAAATATATCAATATTTTTGTTTCCCGTTACAAAGCATGGGCTCTTTTATACGTTAGGAAGATGGATAAATGGGGCGAGTTTCTGAAGTTCATTATCCAATAAAAGCATCACAAAAGGTGAACAACATAGTATTCAAAGGGATGAAGGATTCATCTTTAATTTCTTTGTAGAGGAATTAACGAGTCAGTATCTGATTGAATAACTTCAAACTAACTAGTACATTTTTAAAATAGGTGTCATCTCGTAATGGATGATTTGAATATGTGGGGATTTTGAGCTGTGCATATTGGGTTAGAGTTTGTGATATCATCCCGTTGCAACGCACGGGCATTTTTACTAGTAATAATAAAGCAAGGATTGACTCCTTGGGTTCACCGTCACAATATGTTTCTTCCCGTGAATTTACGCTGTCAATTTATATTATTTTCGCTATCCGAGGTGGTACTAATTCTAATTATGGGACCTCTTTGTAATGTTTCGGCCGAAAGAAAGCAGCCCACCTCGTCGCGAACCTGGCCCAGGAAGGAGGCCCACCCCGCCGCGGAACAGGCTCTAATGGGAGGCATTCTATGATGTTTCATCTTTAAGTGAAAAAAATCGACAGACACCTCTCTCTCCCGCACGAGAACCCGAGACGCCCCGGTGCTAGGGTTCCCTCCGCCATCGTGCCCCATCCCTCCGCCGCTGCTCCCCATCCCTCCACTCCCGGCAACCCTCGTCACCTTCTCCTAACCCAAGTCACCGTCGTAGTACCTTGCTGTCGGTCCGATGCGGGAGGGGAAGGAGCCATGCGAAGCACCAGGCTGGTGGAGGCGCGGGGGAGGAGGGGGAAGACGAGGCAGCAGGATGGTGAGGGGACGACGCGAGAGGGCGGTCGCGGCGGAATGGGAGGACCACTCCTCCTACTGCGACTGTCGGTGTCAAAACCGGCGGATCTCGGGTAGGGGGTCCCGAACTGTGCGTCTAAGGCTAATGGTAACAGGAGGCTGGGGACACGATGTTTACCCAGGTTCGGGCCCTCTCGATGGAGGTAATACCCTGTGTCCTGCTTGATTGATCTTGATGATATGAGTATTACAAGAGTTGATCTACCACGAGATCATAGAGGCTAAACCCTAGAAGCTAGCCTATGATTATGATTGTTGTTGTCCTACGGACTAAACCCTCCAGTTTATATAGACACCAGAGGGGGCTAGGGTTACACAGAGTCGGTTACAGAGAAGGAGATCTACATATCCGAATTTCCAAGCTTGCCTTCCACGCAAAGGAGAGACCCATCCGGACAGGGGACGAAGTCCTTGTATCTTCATAGTCCAAAAGTCCGGCCAAAGTAGATAGTCCGGTTGTCCGAGGACCCCTTAATCCATGACTCCCTCAGTAGCTCCTGAACCAGGCTTCAATGATGATGAGTCTGGCGCGCAGATTGTCTTCGGCATTGCAAGGCGGGTTCCTTCTCCGAATACTCCATAGAAGATTTTGAACACAAGAATCGTGTCTGGCTCTGCAAAACAAATTCCACATACCACCGTAGAGAGAACAATATTCCACAAATCTAATCTGCTGACATATTTTCACAGCATGACATCACGCCACGGCCCAGTCATTATTCGTACCGTTTCTTTACAACCAGCTACTGCACGTATTGCGAGGCGGTTTCCTTGGCACGTCCTGTCGAAGCAGAGATCGTGTCCCCTTATTGCGGGATTGTCATCAATAAGGGCGTGGGTAACCCAACCGTGTGTGTTAATATGACTCCTCGAATTTAGGCGGGCTCCAAACGGTCACGCGGGGGACGCTTGATATTCATCACCTTTATAAAGGGATCAAGGCCTGTCCTTCTCTTCCCAC